AAATGATGGCTGGCTTGTCATTGTGAACAGTGAGATCATGTGCGGTGTCATGGACAAGGCTACTGTTGGAAGCGGAAAGAAGAAGTCGATCTTCGGTGTCATCATGCGGGACTATGGCCCTCATGAGGCTGCTGCAGCGATGAACAGGGTTGCCAAAGTGTGTGCACGTTGGCTGGGTGCGCGCTGTGCTCTACGTCGGCAAGTATCTCAGTGCTGACTTCTTGCAGCCAATTTCGGCTTTTCTCTTGGTATCAATGACGTTATCCCCGGTCCCCAGCTGTCCCAGCAGAAGGAGGACATGGTCATGAAGGCGTATAATGCTTGCGACGATCTCATCATGAAGGCCAAGAAGGGATTGTTGGAGAACAAGCCAGGTTGCGACCAGGAGCAGACACTGGAAGCCATGATCTCGTCCATATTGTCCAACGTCCGTGATCAGGTCGGTAACATATGTATGAAAGAACTAAGTCGGCATAACGCACCGTTGGTCATGGCAACTTGTGGTTCCAAAGGTGCGAAATCAAGGCATAATTAGCAGTCACGCGGGCTTACAGTTTCTTAGGTTCCGTCATCAACGTGTGTCAGATGGTTGCTTGTGTCGGTCAACAAATTATTGCGGGTCACCGAGTTCCTGATGGTTTTCAAGACCGTTCGCTACCACACTTCCCCAAGAAGTCTCGTGAGCCACCGTCGAAAGGTTTCGTGCGGAACAGTTTCTACACCGGCCTTTCCCCCACAGAGTTCCTCTTCCACGCCATCTCAGGTCGTGAAGGTTTGGTCGATACCGCTGTCAAGACGGCCGAGACGGGTTATATGCAACGGCGTCTGATGAAAGCATTGGAGGACCTTGTAACGCACTACGATTCCTCCGTGCGGAATGCGGTGGGCGGTGTCGTCCAGTTCCGGTATGGAGACGATGGTCTTGATCCGGCATGCTTGGAGGGTGATGCTCAACCTGTTGAGTTCCTGCGCGCATGGAGCCATGCTTCGGTGAGTCGTCTCGCTTGTCTTTTGCGTCAGCTTAGCTTACTGTGATACAAGTCCATCGCATCGCGAAGCACTCGCGGGCTGCTACCATTCGAGATCCTTGAGTTCGTTGACCGCGAACTAGCTAACCGAAGGTTCACAAGCGAATGCATGCCTGCATACTTGGCTATTGTTCGCAGTTTCATCTCAGACCACATTGCCAATAAGCTTGCCGAAGTGCGGAGGCAACATGGCATGTACGATGCATTAGAGAGGGAAGCGGAATGGGACGAGGAAACGGACCTGTCTCTAGGAGCATCAGGTGCGATGAAAAAAACGCAGAACCCAGGGGATGTATTACTGATATTTATCTAAGATGCCGACAAGGCTACCGTGGACAACAAAGCAAAAGTCACTGAGGAGCAGCTACGCGTCTTCCTTGACATCTGTTGGACGAAATACGTCAAAGCGAAGATCGAGCCTGGTATGCATGATTGCTCTTCGGCATCTTCTAGTACTCATACTCGATCGACTAGGTTCCACTGTCGGCGCTGTTGGCGCACAGTCCATCGGTGAGCCCGGTACGCAGATGACGCTGAAAACGTTCCACTTTGCTGGTGTTGCGTCTATGAACGTGACCCTCGGTGTCCCTCGCATCAAGGAGATCATCAATGCGGCCAAAGTTATCAGTACGCCTATTATCAGTTGTAGATTGGTGACCGCGAACAGCGAGGCTTCTGCTCGTATCGTGAAGGGTCGGTTGGAAAAGACCCTCCTGGGTGATGTGAGTGCTCGTCGCGTGATTGCCCAGCTTAAACCAATGTTGTGTGGATAGGTCGCCGCGGTGCTTGAGGAAGCCTGGGCGCCCGAGTACACCTACATTGGGATCATCGTGGATGTCAAGACCATCCAAGATCTGCAGGTGGGACGCAAACGTGCTCGTTGTTTTCGGGCTACACACTGACAGCCAACCCTAGCTTGAGCTCACCCTGGACGATATCAAGTGGGCTATTGTCAATGCCAAGAAGCTGAAGATCAAGCAGGAGGTAGGCTGGCAATTTGAATAGAAATGTCATCACCATGTTACTGACATTTCTGTCAGTCTATCACGGTCATCCCACGTAGGAATCGCCTCCGCATCTACATCGACGGGCAGGACAAATACTACCGACTGCGTGAACTGAAGCGAACACTGCCAGACGTGGTCGTGAAGGTGGGCTGCACACTCTACCCATGCCACTCATAATCGGCTAAACGAGTCACGTAGGGTGTGCCTACAATTCGTCGTGCGATCATTAACATCAAGGAAAAAGATGATGTTCGAGGGAATAAAGGCGACAAGGAGCTGCTTGTTGAAGGCTATGGTCTTCAGAAAGTAATGACTACTCTAGGTGTGTCTACTGCAACCTGGCATCATGTCAGGTTGGTATGAACTGAATTCCTGGTAGGTATCGTCGGCGAACACACTTCTTCCAACCACATCGTCGAGGTGTGCCAAGTGTTGGGAATTGAGGCGGCCAGGCAGACGATCATCAACGAGATTCAGTATACCATGCAAAGTCACGGTATGAGTATCGATCCGCGACATGTCATGTTGCTCGGAGATGTCATGACATACAAGGCAAGCGTAACCTTTCTCTGTAACTGACATCTCGCTGATATACTCGAACCTTACAGGGAGAGGTCCTAGGTATCACCCGATTCGGTGTCGCGAAGATGAAGGACAGCGTGCTCATGCTTGCGTCTTTCGAGAAGACCACCGACCACTTGTTCGATGCGGCGGCATTGGGCAAGACCGATAGCATTGCCGGCGTCTCGGAGAGTATCATCATGGGCAACCCTGCCGCCGCCACCGGAACATCTATGTGAGTCATTTCAGCGGCCATGTGGGGATCATGGGATCTGACGAGATCATTTAGGCCTGCACTGGTCACGCCGGCGCCGTCACTCGGGAAACCGAGAAAACTGTTATTTGAAGGGGCCCTGTAGTCTTTCTCTTTCTGCATGCTTAAGTTATCGTCGCTTAATGTATCATAGGCTGTCTCACTCGCGCATGTGTATTTTCGCAATCACAATCACAATCACAATCACAATGTTGTTTAGTCATACCCATCGATGTGTCAGGGTCGTAAGGGCTTGAGAAGAGCTGCAAGCATCGCGATGCTCGCGACCTCCAATGAAACAGTTGACTGCCGGTCACGGGAAAATAGCATTATCATCGTTGTTTGTGTATGTGGCGACCTATTGAATGGACCAAAAACCATAGTCAGATTCAATCGAATTTACTACAAGGAACGCGAATCACAGCGGCCAGAGACAGAAGGCGACACAGGAGGTTGTACATACGACACTGATTTATCTCGTCCCTTGCCGGTTACTAACGACACTGGTCTTCAAACACAAGCTTTCTACGTGTCGACGAAAGACTTTGAGATGAGGACATTCGCGCAATCTCGCTACTCGCTGCTAAGTGACACCCATAGCCATGATCATACTGATTTTCTACTGATTTTCTGGTTCACAAATAGCATACAAAACACCACGTTGTATACTGCTTGACCGTCGTATACACACGGCACATCAGCGAGTCACTTCTCCGATCCTGTCGCTGATCGTGAGAAGACCCACGCTGGCCATTCGCCCCACGGAGACTGCATCGTCTCGTAACCACGAGTAGCGAAGCCAAGCTTGTTGTATATTGCGACCTGTAAAGCCGAGCATATTAAACTCAGATGTGCTTACTTCAATGATATGAACGACAATGTAGATCCACTCACGTTGCGACCGTTCGTCGTGGCGAGTGCCATCATTACCCCAAGTCTTTCAGCCTAGATGATACACAGTCTACAGTTGTATGCAGAGTGCCCAGAGGCAAGTATGGAAATCAAACGCACCTGTGGGAAGACGAGCTCGAAAAGAGCCTTGAGGATCCCTTTGCCTTGGTAATCGGTCCTGACCATTGCATAAGCGCAGTAATAGGTTGCAGTTTTGGCCTGACAGAGCCTGGTGAGTAGGCATGCAGAAATGACAGATGACAGAGATGTTGACATTTTCGATGCCAAGGGCCGCGTTAATAAATCGAGGAAATTCTTGCCCAAGCTATCAGAAGTGACAAGATCAGGATTCGTGGACATCGGGATAAGATTGAATGGACGGGGCTGACCACGTTTGTGTAGTACTCTCGACCTTTTTCAGACAAGCTCGCAAGGAACTGGTACAATCCCATTTGGCGTTGTTCCTCGCTATAATGACGGCTTTTCATGAGCAAAGCACTAGGTTGGCTAAAGTACCTGATATTTACGGACGTTGTGCACACATTAGATCCTGGGGGCAGCCAAAGTGTGAAACCGACTAGGACACCGTTTTCGTCGATTGCGGTGTACATCTCGGCTGCGATGAGGACGCTCGGCTTGATCATAGCGCGTGCCATGAGGCCAATCAGTTCTGGCTGCCCAGCGGTAAGGGCATCTGTAGCGGGATCTGCGAGATATACTGAATCAACTAAGACGAAAGTGAGTGATTGCATGCATACCATACCATCGACCATGAGGCTCTCATACAACTGGATCGCAGCCTCAGCGAGCTCCTCTGCAGATTCATATGTGAGTGATCAGGGGGGTGCAAGAACGAGCGTTGAAGATGACCAGAGGGGGTCCGTACTTGTTGTACAGAGATGTTTGCGGGGGTCATGTCTGAATTCCCGTCAGGCGCATCTGGTACGAGACTTTATGTGCATTTATTCTGGCATCATTCTATTGACATCACATCTCTCGAGTCATACTATGTACTGAGCATGATTCATAATTGAGCGTCGGGGCCGCACCGAGCATGTGCACCGTATTTACTAGCCGAAGGATGACTTGAGGTTATATGATGACGAATACCAGTGTGCCGAAAGCAGCCGAGAAAATACTTGAATAATGAGTAACGGTACTCAAGACCTGTAGAAAACACGAAGAGTGACATTGTTCCAATGTGCCGACGTGTTGGAAAAGATACCCCGCCAAAGCACCGAAACGAAACAAAAAATAGGTTGACAACAGCGAGATTCGAACTCGCGCCCTTTCGGACTGGATGGAGCACACCTGATTCCAGCGCCTTAGACCACTCGGCCATGTTGCCATACAGATGTCGGAATTCTGTGCAATCACAGCTGCGGCGGTTCGGAGAAGGCCGGAAGATGAATAAAATTGCGGGGAGGCGAGGCGGGCGGTCGCGTGAAGGAATTGAGTGGACTGGCGGTATCCGGCTTGAGAGAGTGCCAGTGAACTACGCGTACTCGGCTTCACGCCATCATCCCACTCCTCGTCGTCTCCTGCGGTCTTCAAGGTATTTAGACTGCTCTGAAGTCCCTTCCGCGATCGACTCTTGGAGTCGTCGCCGACATGCTACCAAAAGTCGCAAATACTCTACTTCATCACACCTCTCGTGCCGTAGCCGCCGTACAGAATCAAACCGGCTATACCATCCGGAATGTCCTCCAACTCCAGTCTTCTTCCTCTTCTCCTTCTACCGGTAACTTAGGTCCTTGGAACGGCGCGTCGTCTTCAAACTCTGGGTGGAACGGTCACGGTGCAGGCCCTGGAGGAGCCAAGTACCAGAGCGGTAGTCGGTTCTACACAGGTTATTCGGTGAGTATTTGTCCTGCGCTGTCTCCGCGAACCTGTCATGCTCATGCTCGTGCGTTTCTAGGGTGCTGGTCGCGCCGTCACACAGGCAGACACTTCGTCTTCGAATGCAGCAGCACAGGCATATAACGATGACTCGGACGAGCGTACCCCCGTCAAGGCTGTCCAGTCCCTGCGGCCTCGACGCTCGTCGTTCACCTTCCAGGATCGCAAGGATGACAAGCTCGGTTTGCTCAAGACTACACAGCTCCACACTCGCGCGCACCATACCATTGCACAGCGCAGCACCTCGAGTCAGTCCACATCGACTGCACTCATCCCGTCTCGCCCGGTTACCCCCGCCCTGATCACTGCTGCTCCCGGTACCTCCGTCCGACATGAGACCACCGCGGCCATCTCACATGGAGATGTTGCTGACGTGGACTCAGCCGTCCTCTCTCAAGCCGCTGCACAAGAGCCCGCGTCCCCGCAGGAGCCTGTCCCCGCGGTGGAGGCAACACACGCGCCAACGTTCCTGGAAGATGTCTCGATGTATGCGGTTCTGCCGGAAGAATCACCCTCAGAGCAGGAGCTGAAAAAAGAGGCTGCGGCGATCATGAAGGATCTCGAGGGCGTGGAAAATCGCGGCGAACGTTCCATTACGACGCAGCTCGAGAGGGTCATGAAGGCTTCCCGCCCTTACCCGGTTGAGGTCTGGAGCCAGGCAATGACAGCGGCAACACGGTTGGATACATCACGCACGGTCAAGTACACGTTGGAACTGTACCAGGCAATGCTGGCGCAGTCGGTACCGCCAACCGGAGAGATCTATCACCAGGTTATCTGCGCATATGCTCGACGGGACTACACCATTTTCCGGCTCAGTTTCCGGAAAAACGGTTGGCAGAATTACAACGAGTCGGTTGAAGGGCTGTCGCAGGAGAGCAACTTCACAGCGGCGATGACGCTTTTCCAGGCGGCGTGTAACATCCCGAACACGAAGCTTCCGTTATCGACGTACAACACATTGCTCCGGCTCGCAGGTATCCACCGAAATGTCGACGCGGCGATCTACGTATTTGCGCAGCTCGAGAAACGCGTTGATGTCACACCTACGGCTTTGACGTACAGCAACTTAATCCAGGTCTACGCCCGCGTCCGTGATCTCAACGGTGCGAAGGAGGTGTTCGAGGAGTTCAAAGAAGCGTCTCGCACCAATCGCCTCGCTTGGGACTTGACCGATGAGGCGCAGGAGACGTTAATCGATGACTATGCTCCTCGCGAGTTCAATCCTAGGACCCGGCAAACACTGGTATGGCATCGGATGATAGAAGCATATTTTCGCTGCGGGCAACCCACGGGTTCACTCGCCCTCCTAGAACAGATGCTCGACACGACTGCAGGCCCCGAGTTCCACCCCGACCAGGTCCCTCCCCCGACCCAGGCGACTTTCGCGAACATTATCAAAGGCTTCTGCGAGCTCCGAGATATCCGGACGGCGCGCTCTTGGTTTGAACGGTTACTTCTCCAGGAAACTTCCCCAGCAGACGACTACGCTCCCCAGTTGGTTCCCACCCGCCCGAACGCTCGCGCATGGACTACCATTCTCACTGGATTGATCAAGGAAGAAGCGTGGGGCGAGCTGCTTGATGTTCTTTCGAAGCTTCACCAGTACACCGAAAGGGACAACCTCAGCCACATCACCTTCGACATCAAGCGCGCATTCAGCGGTGTACTGCATTATGTCTCGCGGACGTCTAACGATGTTCCTGTGCGGGAGAAAGAGGTCGTGGACCTGTTCTCCGCCATTGCGCTCCAGCACGACCTCGCTACCCTGCCTACCGTCAAATCCCACCCGCAGTCCCAGCTCTTTGCCACTCTGGTCCTGGAAGAGTACATTCGCCTCGGGCACATTGAGGCAGGGTTGCAGTTCTTCGAGAATGTCACCTTGCATGAGCGCAAGTACATCGACGATGGTCACATCCCCGCCCTCGACCACGATCGCCGTGTGCCGTTCCAGCATTTCTTGGACGTCGTTCCGCAGCGGTTCCTACGACTCCCCGCGCTTACGCTCCCCGACGTGCTTCGCCTTGCTCAGGTGTCTGACATCATGGCCTCGATCCATCGTTCTGGGACCTTGTACTTACAGGCGTACAGCCAGTTCCGAAAGCATGCCGATCTTTCGCAGTTGAGCGCGAAGGACTGGGCAATGCTGCTCAGAATCGGGTGTGTGCACCTCAAGGAGGCCGCGAACCCAATTGTGGAGAAATCTGTCCATGTGTCCACTCTGCAGGATATCGTGAAGGACATGGTGAAGAACTTCCCCGCTTTGGATACACTTGCCTCGGAGCCGGAGTTCAGACCGCAGTTCTGCCGTGACGTCGTCGTCCAGTTACGCACGCAATATGGTGACGATATTGCGCTGCCCCTTGTCCGGTCGATGGGTCACCTCTTCGAGTCCAATATAGCCAGCTCCGACGCGGTCCTGCAATACGTACATGCAGCGCAACAGCGGACCGTGGGGCAGAGCATCCCCATGAAGACGGGCTCGTCGAAATCGTACCACATCGATCTACGCCTCAGCAAGATGATCGACGACCTCATGATGCAACCGGGTGGGTCTGCTCAGGTGGCGTGGAACAACTTCAACACCGCCGAGCGGCGGGGCATCGCGCCCAAGCCTGCCACGCTCGGACACATGATCTCGTTCTACGGCCGCAAGCGCGACATGGCTAAGGTAGAGTACCTGTATCAAGTCGCGCAGGAGCTTGTCGTCAAGATCAAGGAGGAGCAGTGGCGGCGCGCTGCGTGGGATTACATAGAGAACTGCATGATCGTCGCGTTCGCACACTGTGACGCGATCGACCGCGCGTACGTGCACCGTGACCGCATCATCGCGAGCGGGTCCGTGCCCAACTCGGACGCGTACGGCGCGTTGCTGCTCAATGTCACGGACACGACGGACGACGCGTCGAACGCGATGGCGCTCTGGAACGAGGCGATCTCGCGCGGACTTCTCCCGTCGACGTATATGTACAACAACATCATCTCTAAGCTCGCCAAGGCGCGCCGCGCGGACGAGTGCCTCGTCATGTTCGAGGACCTCAAGGCCCGCGGGCTCCAGCCGTCGTCGGTCACGTATGGCACGATCATCTCGGCGATGTGCCGCGTCGGGAACGAGCAGCAGGCCGCAGCGTTCTTCGAGGAGATGACGCAACACCCGGCGTACAGGCCCCGTGTCCCGCCGTACAACACGATGATGCAGTTCTACACGTACACGAAGCCGGACCGCGAGCGCGTTCTCTACTACTACGACCTGATGCAGAAGGCGAAGGTGCAGCCTACCTCGCACACGTATAAGGTGAGCTAGATCACAACCCCGTCGGCGCGCATCTGTTGATCCGTTGTGATTGTAGGTTCTCATGGACGTGTTTGGCACAATCGAACCTGTCGACGAGGCGGCAGTGAATGACATCTTTGCACAGGTGACATCCGGCGGCACCCCGCTGGTGCAGGGTGTCCACTGGGCGTCACTGATCAACATGTACGGTTGTGTGAAGAAGGACTTGGACAAGGCGATCGAGGTCTTCGACTCCATCAGCGCGCACCCGTCGACCGCGCGCGTGTCTACCGTGCTTCCGGACGCGACCGTCTTTGAGGCCCTCATCAACGTCATCGTCAGTCTGCACCGCTTCGACATGCTGGAACCCTTCATGCAGCGCCTCTGGGGCTCAAACATGCACATGACGGCGTACATTGCGAACATCATCATCAAGGGGTACGCCTCAGCGGGCGACATCGCGAGTGCGCGCACGTTCTTTGAGACGATGCAGGATCCCCCTCAGGGCATAGCTGCCCCTCACAACCGCACCACTCATGAAGACCGGGACGAGACAGTGCTCCCGGCAGACATCCCGGTGTATCGTGAAGTAAGTCATCAACTTGACTGACGTTCTTTCGACGGGGACTGATGAAGCACACGACAGCCGTCTACTTGGGAAGAAATGATCCGAGCAGAATTGCGAAGCGGCAGCCGCCAGAAGGCTATCGATTTGCTCACAAGGGTACAGCAAAGGTGAGTTGCTGCCGCATTGTCCCGGATAGGATGTCTGACAGCTGGTTGCAGACAATACCCTGTCGGAGTGTACAACCGGATAAGCGGTATCCTGCTCCAACACGACTCGCAACCATCTCCGCTTGACGTGGAGTCACCCGTCTCATCCAGCCCCAAAACTGGCTCCTACGAGCCAGACTCTCCCTCCGCGCAGAGCTCCCAGACGAGCATCTGAGTACACTCCTTGAGCAGGGCTCCTACAGGATCCTCCAGCACGCAGTCCACTTTATCGTTAGTCGACAATGCTGATCTATCGTTGCCTCATATCCTTCGCAATCTGTATTCACAACCGACGTAGACTGTATCATAGAGAATGTCAGAGGGTATATTGCCGCGCATAATATATAGGACTGTAATTCCTAGTGTCTATCCCAACTACCCATGTTATTTACCCCGGTAGA